GTTGTGCAAGTTTGTATTCTGCACCCAGGCGAACAAGGTTACCCTGGAGTTCGCCCATGTGGCCGATTATCTTGCTCAGGGAGGAAGGTTAGCACTCGGCCACATCTACCGCACGCTTCACGACATCGTCACCGATGGGATGAAGCCGAAGCACAGTGGTCCGCTGTGGGCGTTCCAGTTCTGGCTGCAAGCCTACTTCCCAGAACTGAGGGCGGTGGCCGATATCAACGACGCCGAGCCGCTGGCCAATGCATTTGCCCGAGCCCCCAGGAAGCACAACACCTCGGCCTTCTGTTACAAATTTTTCTATGGCCTGGCTGAGAGGACTGGCACGCCATTATTCGGGTGAACCACGTACATGTCTGCCGCGCAAATCTCAAGGCCTGGAGTTCCGGGCCGAGGGGATATGCGTTGACACGCGGTTTCCTACTTTTGGGTGCGGTGCGGTTGTGCGCGGGCGTGCCAGCACGGTCTACCGTGCGTCGAGGTGTTTGATGAGTGTTGGATGGATAAGTGGTGCGCCTGCTTGAACTCGTCTTTCCCTCCTCTGTCAACCAACCGGCTCTCGTCATGGAGGGCCGATGTCTCTCAGCAACACGGCGTGGCTGGCATAACCTTCCAGCTTCAACAGGAGATGACCTTCCTGACCCTAATGCCCTGGTCGCGTCGTAATGCGTATGACGAAGATGGGAGGGTCTGGTACGAGGAGTGTATCTCGGCCAGATTTATCCGGCCTGTTCAGGAGGCCGCAAGGGTGGCCCTGAAGATGTCTGCCGCGTAAATCTCACGGCCTGGAGTTCCGGGCCGAGGGGATATGCGTTGACACGCGGTTTCCTACTTTTGGGTGCGGTGCGGTTGTGCGCGGGCGTGCCAGTACGGTCTACCGTGCGTCGAGATGTTGATGTGGATAGAATGGTCAAGTGGTGCGCCTGTTTGAACTAAACGATTGTAGCCGAGAGAGGAACTGGTCTTGGCTGTTAGGTTCACGGCCTGAACTACAAGGCCGTTGAGTGATGGTGTTAGTGGTGGATTTTGGGCGGTGCTCCGGCGCACTGCTCGGGGAGCGACGGTCGTATGATATATGGGGTGAGGGAACGAACAACAAGGATGGTGCTCCGGCGCCTTGAAAATCAAGGGTCGTATGATATATTGATGAATGAATTTTCCTTACAGTCTAACACT